ATGGCGGGGAGACTGGAGAGTTAGATAGCTTAGCATTTAATAACCCTGGCTCCTCTTCCAGAGGTCTAGGTCCAATTCCCAGCATTCATACGGTAGTTCTCAACTATCCACCTTCTCCCTGACTGCCCCAGCCTCAGGCGCGAGGTTCACACAAATACATACAAGGAAAATGTCCATAAGTAAATATAAAAAAAAAGAAAGAAAGAAAAGAAAAGAAACAAACAAAAACCCACAAAGCCGGGTGTAGTGGCACATGCCTTTGTACCAGAACTGAGGAAGCAGAGGCGGGAACTCTCTGAGTTTGAGGCCAACCTGACCTACATCGCAAGTTCGAAGCCAGCCCAGCCACATCCTGAGACCCTGGCTAAGGAAGGAAGGAGTTACAAAGAGAGAAAATAATTGGAGCGTGATGCAGTTTCTAGGCGTGCAACCTCTTGCTAACCCCTTTTCCCTCACACTATACTATAGAACACTCTCATTTAATTCCTTTGCATTTCAAACAAAAACTGTTGTTTTGTGTTGTATTATTGAAACAGTATCTAAGTCTATGTAGCAGAGAAAGGCCATGAATTTTTAAAATTCTTCGGCCTCCGTCCCTCCTGACAGCTAGAGTAACAAGCGTTTGTCATTGTGCCTGGGTTATGCAATACTACGGATTGAATTTTATATGCGCTAGGCGAGCACTCTGCCAACCCACCCCCCCAAGAAACCCTGTATAAGATCTGTACCCTGTTCAGTGTGCTGCTGCTGCTCAGCCTGGAGGCAGCCACCCTCCTGGATTCTTCCTTCCTAATAAATCTCTTGAGTGAGGTTTGTTGTGCAGTGTGACATTTTTTGCCAAGCAGAGCCCAGCTGTAACCACTTTGGCCAGAGCCGGAGCAGAGCAGAACTGTTAACACTTTTGCTAGGGAAACTTTCCCTTGGAGGAGCAGAGCTGTTACACTCCAGGGGTCCTGAGCAGAGCTCAAACACTTTGCTGGGGAAACCCTCCCGTGTGGAAACCCTCCTCCCTTCCCTGCAGCAGGGCTGTAAGTTACTACACTTAAAATAACTTGGTGGTTTTCCTTGTCTGCCATGATACCTTTCCATCCTAGCCGCAACACTTACAGAAACCAGAACACCCTTTTTACTGCTTTTAAATCTCCAGGTCTCTGAAGAATGTGTTTCAAGCCCTGAGTTCAATGCCCAGCACCGAAAAGAAACTTTTATTTTCTACGCTCACATCATAGTGTGATTTGAGCGCCTACCCAACTCCTTGCAGAATGGAAGTCGCAAATATATCCCTCAGTTGGCACTGTTGTGTGCCGTGGGATGTTTGCTTCTGTTGGGGGAGCCCTACCTAGCTTGATGGCTTGCCAGGCTTGTCCTGCTTTTTAGAGACTGACTTGTTATTTTTAGTTGGATGGCTTGGGGCTATAGAAGGCAGTACGTTAGATGGGGAAAAGTGCCTGGAAATCCCATGTCCTTTATCACTTCTCCCCGTTGCCTACTCTCCCAGAGGACTCTCCTCCAGTGCCATGGAATGTCCCTGTGACCCCTGAACTTGCCACCACGGAGAGTGAGAGTCCTAAGGTTCTGTTGCTCTGACAACCCATTGTCAGAGCAGTGTCTGCATCAGAGCTGCCAAGGTTCTGGGAGAAAGACGCCTGCAGAAGGGTCACAGTTGTTGGTTTCGTAAACGCTCAACTATGACTAGTCTTTCTGTGTTTAGTGACATACCCCCAGCCCAGAAGCTGGAAGGCAGCTTACTAAAGATCTACAAGCAAGACAAGTATTCTAGCAAGATGTTCCTGGCCTACAGAGGTAGGAGCCAGTCGTTTCAGGTCTTAAGGTTTTCTGCATATTTTGACTGCCTGTCAGCGGGCAGCGCCCCCCAGTAGAGGAATGAAGAATAGCCCATGCCTCCGCAGCTGGGAAGGGTTTTAGTTTATTAACGGAACTGCCCAGAGCATAGAAGAGCAGTGAGGGTTCCAAGCCACCCCATGCCCTGGGCCCCATGCTGGGGACTTCTGAGAATTTGGCAGGAGCCCCAAATTCCTCCCTCTTTTGTTTGTTTTTGGCCCACGTAAATCAGGCTGGCCTTGAACTCACAATCTAGCTGAAGACCTTGAGCACAGTCTCTTCCTGCCTCCACCTCCCAAGTCCTGAAGGCACCACCACACTTTGCTTTCCTCTAATTTCTTTGTTGTTTTTCATTTTTTTTTGTTCGTTTTAATTTTTAACTATATGTGGGTGTAGGCGACATGCGTGCACATGTACATGAACGGTAAGTGTACAAGGTGGCCAGAGGCATTGAATCCCCCCAGAGATGGCTTTACAGGGGGTGAGGAGCTATCTGATGGGGGGGGGGGGGGGGGGGGGGGGGGGGGGGGGGGGGGGGGGGGGGATGAGCGCTGAGAACTGAACTTGAGTTCCCTTCAAGGGCTAATATGTGCTCTTAACTACTGAACTATCTCCCCTCCCAGGGCTCTCCTTCTTGAATCCAAACATTAAGCCTTCTGGGGGAGGGGGGAGGTTTGCCTAGCATCCTGAAGCCCTTCAGTCAATCCCTAGCAAATAAGCCAGGTGTGGCACGAACCTGTAATCCCAGCACCTGAGGGGTGTAAGATCAGACGTTCGAGGTCATTTTCGGTTACAAAGCAAGTTCAAGGCAACCTGTGAGGCCTGGTGAGGCCTGATACTAGAGAGAGGGAGAGGACAAGGAAAGCAGACAGACAGAAAAACAGACAGACAGAGAAAGAGACAGACAAAGAGACACAGAAAAGGAGAAAGGCCGACACAGTGAGCCCTTCTTAATATGAAATCAGGCCTCGCCATCACGAAAGCCAGGGCATATCTTTTGTTTAACTTCTTGAATGTCTAATTAATTTTGTATGTAACCTTTAAAATGCATAGGTTTCAGCTCCTTTGTTGCGTTCTGTTTTGCTTGTGGTTTTTTGTTTTTGAGACAGGTATCTTGCTCAGGCTGGCCTGAAACACACTATAGACAAGGCTGACCTCAAAATGATCCTCCTGCCTCCCCTCCTCAATGCTGGGGTGACAAGTATGGACCATCAGGCCTGACTTTGCTGAGGTTCTTGGTGGTGCTGGTGTTTTGTTTTTAAACACAATCACTAACAGCACCCTGTTTTATAAAAATAAAGAAGCCAGAAAGGCAGCGAGGCAGGGGGGAATGAGGGGGTAGGGGGGTTAAGCTTAACCTTTCATGGGTACTTTTCAAAGCACAAGCCAGACTTGTGGTTTATGAGCTTCTGCCAAGCCCAGCCCCGGAGACCCCGAGGTCGGGCATCCAGAACTCCCTTTGAAGTTTCTCCACAGTCTGCATGACCGATGAAGGCCATCCCTGGGTTTCCCTTGTGGTACACGAGACCCGCCTGAAGATCGCCCGGGACCCCTCTCTGAACTATGAGTACCTGCCCCTGCTGGGCATGGAATCATTCATCCAAGCCGCCTTGGAACTCCTCTTTGGAAAGCACAGCCAAGCCATTGCCGAGAAAAGGGTGAGACACCGAGAGGAGACAGACCCAGGGCTGCGCGGCACCACGGGGGGGCCTTGACGAAGGCGATTTTCCTGAGACTCCGAACATCCATAGCTTTTACATGGGGAAGCAGAGCTGGGATCCAAACCTAAATCCTCATTCAGACACTCAGTTGCACCAACTCATGTTGCTGATTTAAAACCTGTAAATAGATCGTATTAATGTAAAAGAAAACAAGGAAGAAGACTGGAATGTTCAGTGTGTATAAGGCCCTCAGATCAACCCCAGCACCAAAGAGAACTAAAGTCTGAGTCTGAGATGCGCCGGGGTTGCCGCTGCTCCTCTAAAACGTGCCTTTCGTGTATCGCTTGCTGACAGGTAGGGGGTGTGCACGCTGTTGGTGACAGTGGGGCCTTCCAGCTTGGGGCCCAGTTTCTCAGGACCTGGCGTAAGAATTTGAAAAACGTCTGTATCGTCTCGTGCCAAAAAGGTGAGTGTCGTCAATTCCCGCCTGTGTGTAATCTCCACTCTGGCCCTCACTTTTCGGCAGGAGAAAAATGGTGGCTGTGCCGAGCTATGCCCATCCTTTTCCTGTTATTGTCCTCCCGTCAGTCAGTAACCCTCACCCTGCTCTCTGGTATCTCTGCTCTGCCTCTGTCTCTCCGTTTCCACGGACCCCAGCTGGTAGGGCGGGTCTGTGTTCCCACAGAACAGTACGGACTCATCTTCCAGGACATGGGTTTTACAGTCTATGAATACTCCATCTGGAACCCCAAGGAGCTGTGCTCAGACCCCGTCTTATTCTTCGACGTGATGGAGGTAAAGGGGTCCCCACTCAGAATCTTCTCCCTCTATCAACCTGGTTTGTGGCCCCTCGCCCGAGGCCCTTGCTGAGCTTGGATTGGCCGGGTTTTCTGGTGAGAACAAACCTTCGAGAGTATTTCCCTTCTAACCGCCAGGTGTCACCTCTGTACCGCCAGAGGTGGCGCCTTGACAAGACAGTGTCTTCCTGCAGCACATCCCAGCTGACAGTATCCTTGTGATTGGGAACATCATTGACTGCAGGCTCACACAAAATCAGTGGACAAAGCTGATGTCCATCATTAAGGTGGGCCCAGCTCCCGGCCACATGTCCCCTCCTCTTACCTCTGCTTTTCCCCCAGCTGCAGCCTCATGCTTTCGGTTTCTCTTTTCTCTTTCAGAGCAAGCACCTCTTCCCGTTCTTCGACATTCCCTGCCAGGGTCTGTCCACTGGCGACCTGGAAGAAGACACCAGGCTCTTACAGTACTTTGTGTCTCTGGGGTTTGAGTTCTTCTGCAGCCAGTCTCTGTCCAAGAATTTTGGCATTTATGGTATGATATGGGCAGAAGGACAAGGAGAAGAGAAATGGGGAACAAAGTTGTTGCCATATCCGTGGCACAAGTGTTTTGTGTGTGTGTATGTGTGTATGAGCTTACAAAATGAGTTTTTAATAATGTTCTCTGTGTGTGTGTCTCTGTCTCTCTGTCTCTCCCTCATACACACACATACACACACCAGACACTGTACTCAATTTTCCCCACTGCCCTCCCCTACCCCTCCTCCAAAGGATAGATGTTTTTGATATCACTTATCCCCTGGAAGGAGCCTAATACTCCAGAAAAACCATAGTACGGGCAGAAAAGAGCACCCGTGAGCTAGAAGTTGGGCTCTGTCACTGAACCCAGATTACCCAAGACACCCGCACCTGTTCCATCTAGTTAAAATTTCACCCTCTCAGGCCTCTGCCTCCTTGGCTGGAAGATGAGGAGGAGGTACTGAGAAAATCTCTCGAGCTCTCTCCTCGCACACTCTTGCTTATGGATACTCTTCTGCAAAAAAAAAAGAGGCTGGGGCTTCCAGGGCCAAACGCTAGCCTGGCTGGGCTGAGCCGGTGACGCCACAACTTAGCCTACAAGGTTGGAAGGAGAGGGGTAGGTGAGGTTCCGACCGCGAGGGTGAGGCTGTCTTGTCCACGCCGCAGATGAAGGAGTGGGGATTCTAGCTGTGGCGGCCCTCAGCAACCAGGATCTGCTGTGTGTCCTCTCCCAGATGATGAACTACGTCGGGGCCCTATGGGGAAACCCTCCCGCCACGGGCGCCCGGATAATCACAACCATCCTCTGCAACCCTGCTCTGTTTGGAGAATGGTACGGGGTGGGAGGGTCTGGGCATGGGAGGGTGCTAGGGCTCCTACAGACTGACGGTTCACGGGATTCGCTTCTTTTTCCACTTTGTGGTCTCTTTATCCCGCTCATTCGTGCACACATTCATCAAATTTCACTGAGGCCCTCTGTGTGCCATGGCTCTAGCTACGCCAAGGGTGGCGCTGCCTTGTAGGAGTGGACAATGGCACCTGTTTGGGGAGATAGGCCAGTGAGTTAGTTATCCAAACACTTCAAGGGTAAAGGTACTTCTGCCAAGACTGATGACCTCAAGACCTGATGATTCCCAAAACTCATATGATGAAAAGAACCTAGACCTACACACACACACACACACACACACACACACACACAACTAAGATGGCAAAATCTGGGAGTCTACTTTGCTTGCTTAAATTAATTTGGGGCCTGGGTTTCTCCCCGGGAAAAGCAAGGTTTTGTGTTCACTTTCGGTTTAGGAAGTTCAGTTGACAGCACCCCTTGATTCTATGGTGAGGCAATGCATGATGGTACAGTTTGGGGTAACAAACGTTCACTTTATGATGTTCAGAAGGCAAACAGATGTAAAGAAAGAGACATCCACCCCTCAATGAGCTAACATCCTCCCACAACCAATAGTGACACGGCCTTTAACACACACAAGCCTTTGGGAGATGTTTAAGAGCCAGACAACAGCAGAATCAGACCTCCTTCGACCACAGGTGCCGCAGAGCTCAGGTTCCAGCCATGTGCTCCCTGCATGTAGGAAGAGGGGAAGACATGTTGGGCAACAAGGAGACCTCTCGGTCCCATTTCTTGCTTCTTTCCTTGGCAGGAAATACAGTCTGAAAGGTGTCGTCGAGAACATCATGTTGGTCAAGGAGAAGGTGAAGGAGAAGCTCCGACTCCTGGGGACCCCTGGGTCCTGGAATCACATCACCAAACAGAGTGGGACCCACGGTTATCTAGGGCTCAACTGTAAGTTCCAGAACGGGGTGACCCTCCCCTTCCTGACCTCAGACCTGTGTCTTAACACGGAGCAGCCCTGACTGGCTGATCAGTCTCCAACCTTGCTCTGGGCTTTCCTCCCACTCCTGGACAAGCAGGGCTGCTGCAGAGAACTTTATGGGACCCCCACAAATGACACTTCTTATCCTATACTTCGGCCTGGGCTTGAGAGGAAGTCTGAGTCCTGTGCCTGTCACAGACCCGCAGGTAGAGTTCTTGATCAAGAAGAAGCACATCTACATCCCCAGGAGCAGCCGTATCAACTTCACCTGCATCAACGCCAGGAACATAGACTACATCACGCAGAGCATCCACGAGGCGGTGGTGCTCACCGAGGGCTGAGGGGGCCGTCTTCTCAAAGACGTCCCGATTGAAATGGAAATTTAGGTAGCCTTTGGAAAATAAAGTACTGAATTAATTATTCATTACTAGGCTTTACCTTTTCGTTTATTTATGACGCATGTGCTGGCTTGGGCGGGGAGGGGCTTCAGCATACATGCATACATGGAGCCCTGGATTCCAGTCCCAGGAGATTGGGGGAGGGGGGTGCAAGAACAGTTACTCTCGTAGAACATGGTTCAGTTTGGAGCCATGTGACGAGTAACAAAGTGAACAGAAGTCGGTACCTTTTAAGAGGTGTGTTTGTGGGACACACACACCTGTGCACGTGTGTACACTCTTTCAACTAAGTACAGTTGTATACATTCATCTGGTGTATCTTACAAGGAGCTTATAATGAGGGCAGATGGTGAGGTTGGTTTTCCCATTGCACGTCAGGATGTGTGGTGCCCCGCCATTGGATGAAGGTGGGAAGTACGGGCCTTGTGGGGTTTGTCTTTATAGGCACCAGACTAATGTAATTCGTGGCCATTTTCTGGGAATCCTGAGTATGGACCTGGCCAGTGTCTATCATCCTGGCCAGTAATTTAACACAGCTTGCTTCAAAGTTGACTCAAAAATTGTGGTAGTGGTCTTACTCTTGCCCAGTGGGATTAAAAGATCCCTACTGATTTGGGGGCGCCTAATTGGTGAAGAGCTGCATCCCATTGGGCTGAACAGAATTTAAACAGCAGAGTAGGAGTGGACAGGACTCCACAGCATTTCCTAGAACTAAGGAACCCCATCGCCTGCCTGAGGAAACTTTAAGAAATGAATTGCCTATCACTTGAACTTCAGGGGAAGTCACACCTAGCAGCTACAGAAATGTCACCTTCCAGGTAGGGGATCCAGCACATCCTGTGTAGTTGAGGCAACCAACCTTGTTTGCAGGCGCACTAAAACATGTGGGTTGTTTTCTTACGTGAACAACAGCCCCAGCGTTCTAGGAAGTTACCCGTCCTGGGGCAAGTGGTGCTTACAGGTTAAAGACACTTTTGTTTTATAGATCTCTAAGTACAGTCATTTAAACTTTACTTTAGCCCTCACATTTCCCCAACCCCCAAAACTTAAAACGTAACTCTAGCCCTCCCGTTACCTCTGCCCAACAGCACCTGTCTCCCTTGCCACCCCCAGGTACTGCCTCATACAAGACAAGTAGATGCCAAGCACTGAGAGGCAGTGGCCTTCTACCAGCAGTCTGAGATCTGTCTGGTCCTCTCTTCCAGACAAGGCCAACCCATCCTAGAGTCCTCCAAATCTGACCCAGGCCACAGAGAAATGAGTTTGCTCCACATGGCATACTTAGTAACCCCCACAAGGCCACTCTCTCCCTCTCTCCAGAGTCCCTGGTTGGCTAAGAGTGCAGGCTTTTCCTCTCTGTCCGGCCTGTTTATAAATTCTCAAGCCTCCTAAAGGCCTCAGGCAGTCCTATAGTTGATCTTGGCTGTCAGTTTGACTGGCTCTATTCTGTGAAGATACTTTCTGAAAGGATTAACTGGATAGAGAAGATCCTGCCCCCACTTCCCCCCATCCTCCACCCCAACCCCCAGCATGGGCAGTACTTTCTGATGGCAGCCCAGATATAAGGAAATCTGGGGGGAGAGGGGGCAGTGTTACTTTGCCTGCTGACTGTTCTCCTTACCCGTGACTGCATCTACCTTGCTGCTGCTACTGCCGCTACCATCCTTCACTAACAAAGAAATCCAGCTTCTTTGGCCTTCCAAGGTGAAGTGAAGACCAATGACTCTCCAGGAATTCTCCAGGCTTCCAGTACCAGATTGGAACTGCTGAGGGATCCAGTCTGCAGCTTCCAGGGCTCTTGACTTCTCCAGTGGTCAGGCAGCCATTATTGGGCTCCCTAGCCCATACCGTGTTAACAGTTCTAATAAATTCCCTTTGTAATATATTCAACCAATTCTTTTCCTCTTGAGAACCCTGACTGATACAGGCAATGCGGCCAGATGGGTTTGTGCTCTTCGCTCAATACAATCCTACGCCTAGGAGGAGCTTGGAAGGTGGGAGATGCAACTCTGTTGGTAGAACGCTTGCTTAGCATGCACCAGAATGGAATAAGGATGTGGTAGCTGCATGCCTGAAGTCTCAGCAGCTGGCAGGTGGAATGGGAGACTCAAAAGTTCAAGGTCCAAGGCCATTCAGGGATAGGAAACCCTGCGCGAATGGTGTGTGTGTGTGTGTGTGTGTGTGTGTGTTTGTATGTGTGTGTGTCTATGTATATGTGTGTCTATATCTTGTGTGTCTGTGCCTATGTCTGTGTGTATGTGTATGTGTTCTTGTATATGTGTACATGTGTGTCTGCATGTCTCTGTGTGTCTGCATGTGTATGTGTTCTTGTATATGTCTATGTGTCTGTGTGTGTCTCTGTATGTGCTTGTGTGTCTGTGTGTGTTTGCGTCTTTGTAATTTGGAGAACAATGGTTTGAGGCATCAGCAGCCCAGCACTTTCTTGTGTTCCTCCAATGAAAATGCGATTCCTAGGTGGAGGATTGTATAAAGAAAGAAAGTAAGCTTTTCTTCATTGTCTTACAACTTTGGTTAAAAATTAAGGTCTGGTGATTTGGAAAGCATGCTCAGGAGTGAGATAGTCCTGGGTTCAAATCTGTGTTCCGTCTTGGTCTGTCGAAGGAGTTACCTGTTCTCTCTACAAGGTTTTTCCTATGTGAAATGAGGCCAATACTTTTCTATACGCCTGGTGAGGGCCGGCGAGCTCATCAGATCACTCACACGCAGTCTGACTCATGACCAGTACTTGATGAGCTAGCAGGAGTCTTCTAGAAAGTTCCAGCATCACTAAAGTCTCCAGGAGGACTGTAAGGAACCCCCAGGGCCGGGATGAGTTAGAAATGACAGCTGAGTGGCCTTGTTTATCCCACTCCCAACGAATGTCTGCAAATCTGGTTGTTTTTATTTTTGTAAAATAGGTCCTTGCTACCCAGCCAGGCTAGCCTTGAGTTTACAACCTCCCTCCTTCAGCTTGCCAGGAGCTAGGACTTTGGGTGTGCACCACACTCCTGCCGGTGTGTCTGCAGATTGTCATCCTTCTGCCACGCCACTTCTATCCTCCTCACTCTTCTCTCCGGTTTCACTTTTGTGATGTCTTTGTCCCCTTAGATTTCCTCATTCAGTCCTCAACCACACAGAGCAGTGGTACCGAAGGACATTTCGCTCACAGCCCTGGATTCTTCCAGATAGGAGTGCGAGACAAATGAAAGCCCCAGGTGTGTATCTGGTGGCCCTTAGCCTTTCTGGCCTAAGGTAAGGGTCTACGTGCATCACGATTAATAAAAACTCAGGGTCAGAAATTAGGGTTCAACCCGAAGATCCAAAAAGCACAACAGCCAGCCACTGGCTCTTACCTCGACTTCAGTCTGAAAATGGCGATCCTGCCTCCTGGAATCTCAAGAGACTGTGTGACTGAAAACTGTTTCCTCAGTTGGGTAGTGGTGGCACAGGTCTTTAATCCCAGCACTCGGGAGGCAGAGGCAGGTGATCTCTGTGAGTTCAGGTCTACATAGTGAGTTCCAGGACAGGTTCCAAAGCCACATAGAGAAACTTTATCTTAGAAAGAAAGAAAGAAAGAAAGAAAGAAAGAAAGAAAGAAAGAAAGAAAGAAAGAAAGGTTTCCTCCCATTTTATAGTCCTCTCTAGGGCTAGAATTAAAACCATGCACCTCTGTCATTAAAGACATGCACCGCCCAGTTTCTATGGCAACTAGTGTGGCTACTGGGATTAAAGGTGTGTGTCATTATGGCTACTGAGATTAAAGGGGCATGTCATTGTGGCTACTGGGATTAAAGGTGTGTGTTACCATAATCAGGTCTGTAAGGCTGACCAGTGGGACTGTTTTACTCTGAGATCTTCAGGCAGTCTTTATTTATTAAAATGCAGTTGAAATACCACTACACCCATGTCCCTAGAAAAACCACGTGTTCTCACTTGCATATAAAATACATGTGCAACGGCAGGAGCTCGTGGACCCCGTGAGCCCCATCTGCCATCTCCTCAGCATCTGAGGGACCCTGGCAGAACAGCAGCCACCTTCAGTACCTCCCCAGGCCGTCATCCCTGAGTCCCAGCAGCGGGAAAGCAAGCCTCTACGTCCCCTTCTGCCTTCGGGGATAGCCTCTGCCTGAAAAGAGGTGAAAACAGCGAGCCATCAACCACAGCTTGAACGCCCGCCCTCAGGCAGTGGAGAAACTGCAGCTTCCCGGTTTCAGTAATCCCTCATTAGGGAAGCCCTGCTGGCAGTGTAGACCTGGCAGGGGATAAGCCACAGGAGGCAAGAGAAGTGTGCCCTGAAATGCTTCTAGGACTGTGACAAAAAGAGAAGCGTTAATCTAAGTAATCTTAATAAAAAAAAAAAAACGAGATTCTGGGAGATGATACGTGATCCCAGTGAGGACACAGCGCTTGCCTGGATGTAGCTGCGGCTGCGTTCGTCTGCGCACCCTAACCGGAAGTCAGGAGGCGCGGCCAGCCAGCTAACATGGCGGCGGGCTCCGCGTCCTCCCTGGGTGGCGGCGCGTGGCCCGGCTCCGAGGCCGGGGACTTCTTGGCCCGCTATCGGCAGGTGTCCCACAAGCTCAAGAAGCGATTCCTGCGGAAGCCGAACGTGGCCGAGGCCGGGGAGCAGTTCGCGCAGCTGGCCCGTGAGCTGCGCGCCCAGGAGTGCCTGCCCTACGCCGCTTGGTGCCAGCTGGCCGTGGCGCGCTGCCACCAGGCGCTCTTCCACGGGCCCGGGGAGACGCTGGCCCTCACCGAGGCCGCCCGACTCTTCCTGCGGCAGGAGTGCGAAGCCCGCCAGCGCCTCGGCTGTCCGGACGCCTGTGGCGAGCCTCTGCAGGCGGCCGCCAGCGCCCTGGGCTCCGCCGTGCGCCTCCACCTCGAGCTGGGTCAGCCGGCCGCCGCCGCCGCCCTGTGCCTCGAGCTGGCTGCCGCCCTTCGCGCCCTGGGCCAGCCGGCCGCCGCCGCCGGTCACTTTCAGCGCGCTGCCCAGCTGCACCTG